TGGATCTTTGTCAACTTCATACCAAGTGCCAGGTATTGCTTTAAGTTGCGGTAATGGACTACGTAGTTGGTCTTGTCTCGAAGATTCGGAACCAATTTAGGTACAGCACCACCACGAAGATTCAAACATTCTGACAGTTCCTGGCAGTATGGTGACAACATCTCTGAGGAAACTTTCATTCTCTCAGGTGCTAGAGGGTAATCATTATGAAGATCGTGCAATTCGGAGGGATAATGAAGGTCTACCTCTAATACATAACCTTGCTCGTTATCATCTGCAACGTCTGTGATATCAAGTTCTGCAATCTCTTGGTCGGTTAGCCAGTCGAATTCACCCGTTGGTAGCGGTTGTGACATGGCCCAGCCATAGAGGTTATTAGCGTCGAAATACATCACATAGGAATTCTCCTGCTTGGGATCGTAGTCAGGAACATAGGGATTGTTTGCCTTGCTAAATCGATTACTTATCATCGAAATTCCGCCGCGAAGACCTTCCTCAATGAATAAATACATATCTGGATTGGTCAAAAGCTCGAGTTCCACGCCAGTCATTTTCAAACACGCTTGCCAAGCTAGTCCAGGACTCGTATAAAAGTGACAAGGATCCAAGTTGTAAGCTTTCAAGCAGACGCTTCGGAAATTTTCAAACACATCCGCAAGGAGAAGAACATCAGACATCAAATACAAATCATGGTAATCACCCATGTTCTGGCACGCGAATCTATTAAACACAGTCGTTGCGTGGGCGTAATCCTCATCTGAAACTTGTTCATCGTTCAGTACGTTGTAAAATGACTCTTTCGGTGGTAGGGTTGACTCTTCAAATCTTTCCACACAATTCATATGGTCGTAAGGGTAGACACCTTTTCTCAGAAGCAGTGGCACTTTATCGCTGTCGATGTATTTCTTTAGAGTTGGGAACATGTTATCACCGTCCTTTGCTAGATTGGATACCAACTTTTCCAGCGATGCATTCATAAATTGCAGAGAGTCGATAAAATCCAAATTATCGATGGAGAAAGAGATGTACTTCTCGGTATTATTCGGGATGCAGTTGATCTTCTTGTCTTTGAGTTTACCAAGTCCTTGCATGATCAGATGAGAGTCATACCCGCGTAGATTGTGAAGAATAACCGGAATTCGTCCAGTAAAACTGTAGTTCAAATTGCAGTCGTTGTGTGCAGCTCCACGAAACTTTCCGGTGAGATGACAGTGGTCACGAACACGATCAGCTCCCAACTCATATCCGCAAATATGACAATTGACTGCATCTTGAAACGCCTGCTCTTCATCTCTTTCAATTCGCATTGGCTCAACAAAATCAACTTTCTTTTGAATATACTTTTGCTCTTCTTCTAAACACTCCAGAAACTTATCGACTGCATCTTCTCCACGATAAACAACAGGTGGTTTGGAATACTTCTCATAGTCAGATACTACGATGTATGAAAATCCACAAGGTTGATGGTGTTGATATTTTTCAGTAAAGGATTTTTCAGGATTAGGTTGGGTCGAGTCAATCTTTGTTGTAAGACTTTCGAAGTCGGCGTAGATCGCAAAGGGCACTTTCAACTGCTTATGGTAATCTTTGTAAAATAGTGTTGCATTGTCCTCGTCTGGGAGCTCGATACGCTGTGGACCGTGTTGTGAGCAGTGGGGTTCGTGATCTTGGAGTAGGTCTTCTCTGATAAATCCATGTAAACAGTACCGGCAATAGAACATTCGAGCCTTTTTCCGATTTTGACTGTAGAGAAACTTGTTTAGATCTTTGATGAGGCAGTAATGTCTGGTTGTTCCCTGGGAGTATAGTAACAGGTTGACGTGGATATCAAAGTGTTCCTTTGTGATATGCAAGGAAAAGAACACGTCTTCGAAGCCAAATACATTGACTGAGATGTTATTCTGACGTTCAAATTTTTCAATCTTGTCAACAGTGACAGGAAATTCAATACCGCTGCAATCAAGTTTATCTTGAAACTGTATGGAATTGGATGTAGAGCAGCAAGAATAGACCACATGAAACACTTGTTATCAGAATTCCTGATGTTGATAATAGCTTTCTTAGTCTTGAGCTTGTTGGGAAGAGGAATGTAGCTGGATCCCCTCACTGGAGTATACTGAGCTATACTCAGGTCAAGATGAAGTATTTTGTCCAAGACCCAACCACTTCCTTCTTTTTGAAATAACACTAGCGATTGGGTGATTTTCTGCTTGGCTTCGTCTAGTTGATTATCGAGTTCGTGTTGATTTACGGTTTTCATACAAAGACTGCGGAAATGGGGTTCGGTACTCAGGTCTTCACCGTCAGGTTTAGGTTTAATGAACCGCACTTTAACGCTGATGAACCATTTAATGCCTCTTTTCTCTACTAACTCGTTGGAAAGATGTGTCAGAATCGGTCTTGTCTTGCCGCGTAAGAAGCGAGACATATCTTGCTTTTGATCTTTTCGTGGCTTCAACTCGATTTTCTTCAAGGAATCTTCAAAAGCTGTTGTTGAACTGCAGGGGTTGTTGTTTTCTTCGACTTGATTATCTGGCTCACCTTCTCCAATTTGATTCTCGACTCGTACTTTCTTCGGGGCTCGACTGCTATCGTCTTCGTCACGTCCTCTTTTCAAAGGGTTCCCTTGGCATTGAACTTGATGCTCTACTAAATTATCACGACGGTAAAACTTTTTTCTGCAGTTCTCACAAGTATGAGTAGTGATTCCTTGATGTCGCTTCTGATGCCGCTTCAAATCATCCTTCCGTGTAAAGGACGCACTTGCATTGATCACAAATAAACTTCTTCTCTCTATGAACAGACCGTTCATGACGAGTTAAACTTCTCAGCTGAGTGAACTTTTTCGAACAAGTCTTGCAAGTGTAATCCATTCTACAAACAGAGATTGTGGGAGAGTTGTTGAATAAAATTTCTATTACACATGCGCAAAAGCAAGTGTCCGGAGATGGCCTTGTTGCCAAACAGCTTGAATAAATGTGTAATTTATAGCTTTAATAAACTTCGTTGCATGGGGCACCTCAGTTCTTTCTTCATTGGTGCAGCCAGCAAGGACACAGCAACTACTTGGGTCTTGGTAGCCTAACAAGTGATTACTCAGAATAATGAAACTGTTACAATAAATAAAAAAAATACATAACCTATAACCGCAATTACTAAATCCGTTCGTTGCTAGACTTTCCCAAGGGGCACCTCAGTTCTTTCTTCATTGGTGCAGCCAACAAGGGCACAGCAACTACTTGGTACTGATTTCTTATTATTAATCAAAATAATTCAAATCCGAAATTATCCTACCTTAATCGCCTTAAAATGTGAATTACACAATTCTTCAGCAACTTTTACGCGATTGACCAGCTGTAGGAGCTTGTGAGATAAATGCAATTTTCGAATTTTGATCGAACCACGATATTTATATACTGAAGTCACAGCTAATTATTGTGGGAGAGGATTTTTCATAACAACACGTAATGCGCATGCGTACTAACATCTTAGTGTTCATTGAGCGTGTTCATTCTTGCCTGCTTATGCTGTGATGGGAGATAACATTCACCATACAATTTGCATTTTCATAGATGTTAAATATAAAAATACTAAGCCAAATATTTATTATTGTAATATTTTGATGGATGGGGTAGTTTATATAATGCAGCTTATCTCGCAATGGAAACAGTAGATTTTAATCACTAATCAAATACATTGCATGTAGTAGCTTGAAATAAACTAAAAATTGAAAATAAACAAACGGTACCGTAGTAGCTACAAATAAAAACTGTAGATAAACAAACGGCAACAAAGTAGGTAGCTGGAAAATAAAAACTGTAGATGAAGAAACGCCAACGAAGCAGCCAGATATAAACCAAAAGCTATACTACAAACGATTAAACGGTATCGCAGTATCTAGAAATATAAACTGTAGATATAAAAGAAACGGCGGCGAAGTAGCTAGAAATATAAAACAAACGGCAACGAAAAAGCTAAAAATAAACTAAAAGCGATGCTACAAAGGCATCGCAGTAGCTAGAAATATGAAACAAACGGCGAGGAAGTAGTTGGAAATATAAACTGTCGATAAACAAACGGTAGCGAAGTAGCCAGAAATATAAAACAAATGGCAATGCAGCGCCCAGAAATAAACCAAAAGCCATACAACAAACGGTCAAATGGTATCGTAGCAGCTAGAAATAAAAACTGTAGATATAAAACAAACGATAGCGAAGTAGCCAGAAATATAAACTGTAGATAAACAAACGGCAGCAGTTCAAAAATACAAGTAAGCTCAAATAAATTCAAATGACCTGAATAAATTAAAATATTTAAGAATTAATGACGTCATGGGCGGTGCTAAGTGCACCGCCCGCACCGCCCGTCGTAGAACCCCTCTTCCCTATACTACTTCCGTGTTTCGTAGATACCTTGAATCATGTTATTTACATGTCTATCTGTATTCTATATTGATTGTATTTTTGGTGCCGCGCTATTTAATTCCCAAAGAATATTAGTGTTCTAAATTTCTTTACCGAAGCAATAAATGTTTTATTTTACAGCGGTGTTTCAGTGCTAATTCACGCATTATAGAATATTCATTGCATTATAGAATATACACGGCTGATACATCGTAAATCATCAGCCTTTTGACTGTTATTGTGAATAAAGGCGGATCTCTACCAGACGATTTTTGAGACGATCATCAAAACAGTTCGCGACGACACATGCGCAATTGAAAAAATGTTTGAAGTGCAATCGTCTAGCGTTCAAATCAAATCAAATCAATTTTATTCGCCATTAAAGAAAAAAAATAAAAAATGGTTACACAGAATTAATAAAATAGGTTCGACGAAATGTAGGATTGACATCTACTTTTCGTCGAGCGCCAGACGATCGCCAAATTTTTAACCAATAAGATTTCTTGCTGCTAGTAGCCTAGTACAATTTTAATTTTATGCACGCATGATGTGGCAAATTAAGGTACTTGTGAGGTACGTGAAATGTTTAAAGTTCAGGCAGTATTTGATTTTGACTTGAGATTCAATATTGCAATATTTACAATGAAGGGATGAATGAACTGGAAGTAGATAATGTAGTAATTTCTTTATAAACAGGTTAAAAGCTAGAGTTTTTTTTCACAAACAGGTTCTGGTGGATATGGTGGAGGTTTCAACATGAATCCAATGGCTCTGGCTGGAATGATGAGCATGTTCATGAATCAAATGGGAGGCATGGGCAATATGGGTGGTGGTGGCATGGGTAATATGGGTGGTGGTGGTGGCATGGGTAATATGGGAATGGATGCAAGGGGTAGTGGTGATGGGATGGGTGGTCGTGGTGGTGATTCATATAGAGGACCATCAAGCACTAGTGATGGTTACAAATCAAATACTTACCCTAGTGGAAATGTCAACACCAGTACTCCGAGTGCAAGTGATGCTGCTGCTCTTGGCTATGGTGCTCAGAATTCGTCCATGTATGGTGATCAGGCGGCAGGTAGTATGGGAGATATGTCAGCGTATGCTAATGCTATGAGTGCAATGTTTGGTGCTGCAGGTGTGAATCCAGCAAATGTTCAGGCTGCATTGTACAGTGCATATGGTACTGGTACTGGTGGTGCTAGTAGTGGTCAACTGGGTGCTTATGACCAGTCTTCCTCTGCCTATGGTCCCGCAAGGAACACATCAACTCCTTTAAATCGAGGATATAAACCATATTGAGGTAGGTAAACAAGTGCTTGTGGGTTTTGTGCTCATTGTGACAAGTGAAACTCGTCAACACAACTGAAATTCTAACCAGGAATTTGTTTTCATGCCATTTCAAAATTTTTAATGTCCTATATATATTAGGAAGGAAAGAATATTTGTGCTGAATTTAAAAATAAAGCGTAATATTTTTCTTTCAATTGAAAATCTTATGTACAACACTCTAAAATGTGCTTCAGCAATATATCTTCACTATACAGTATATTGAAGTTTTAGTACACCATATTTGGAGCTTGTTGGAGAAATTGTCAGCCGGACCTCTAGCCCATTTTAGTTCCTAAATACAGTATCTTTTAGTACACATTGTTCATTTATCCGTAGTTAGCTGATCCTAGTCAAATGAAAGTGAAACTGTACTAACTATGCATAACTCTGTTTAGATCGGATTACAGAATTAGCAATGTGAAGTGAGTTAGAATACAGCTTACAATAGTTTCAAGAAGTACAAGGCAGACAAACATCCTCAGAGATGAACTGGTATTAGTGAGTTTTAATTAATCAGCTTAGTCATTAAATTGTGTGTAATCTTAGCAGAGACTGTAATTATCAAACTGTAATTTTAGTGAAAGCGTGCTTGAGCAGATTTCGAAATCTC